AATAATTACAATTGAAAAGTTGGCGCGTCTTATGATTGGACACAAATTGTTGTTTGAGTTAAATGTGATTAAATCGCATTCAAAGTGACCATTATTTAAATGGCTAAGAATTTTATCATTGAGTGGTTCTATGGATAATAAGTCATATTTCTTGGCGTTTTCTGAATGACTCTAAACATAACAATCAATTAATGTCTCAATTAATGGCAATTAATGACTGAAATACCAGTCGATGTGTTTGGATGTGTTCATCGACTCTAACGTTAAGACGACTTTTAATGGATATATCTTTCAAACTGATGGCCAACTCTTCTAATTGAATTGTCGGCGGATTTGGTATCTAATCGTGGATTCAATAAAATGTTAATAATTAAAGACATGAGTTGTGGACCGAAGATGTCATACATTTTGGATATCATTTGAATCGATGTCAACAGTGAAACCAATTGTCCGAAAACCCACTGATTGTCACAAAATTAATACAAAATTAGTGTTTGTTTTGTAATGAACTTCAATTGGATGGCTGTTCACAGTATATATTGACCAGCAGTTAGACAAACACCCATTCATTTGCCGCACACCTGACCGACGGTCACTTCATATTGACATCAGTGGTCAGGTGTGCGGCCAATGAATGGTCAATACATTTGCTGTGAAAGCCATTCAATTGTAGTGTAATTCACGCAAAACACATACAATTGACGGCTCGTCTCAACTTCTCTTCAATCCTTTCCTTTGAATCAAATTTTTTGTTTTTATAAATAATTAAATTTAAATCCATTTTCAAAATTCAATTTGGATTTTGCGATCAAAACGTGTTTCAAAACAATTATTTGTTTACATTTTTACTCAATATTTGTCACTATATTTATGAATGGCATTCAAACGATGCCAAAAGGGCTTAACTATGATTAGAAACACTTATATAAAAAGGGACCAAAAGTTGTGCTCAGCTTTGCTTTACTTTTATTGCTGTGAAATATAGTACTAATAATGGAGTGATTCGTGCCTTTTATATATGAAAATGTGGTTAAAGTGTTATCTTATTGTGTAATTGAATGAATGATTTGAATGTTTGGCGCAAATAATGATGGCTTTGAAGACATTGAATGACACAATGAAGACATCGATGACTACCGATGAGGACAACCGAAGATCATTGACAGACAGTCCGTGTCTTGTCTTTGAAATACTGTTCGCTTTGGAGGGAATTAATAGCGATTTGAGTGCGAAGAGAGGCGAAGACAGTTGTATCCAATGGGAACTCATTGAATGTCACAATTATCTCCTCAACGGATCCATTAGTGTCTCGGAAATGAATTTAATGAATGGATTACTTTCGGTGGCAAACCTTTACATCCGTATCAATCACTTCATTCAGAAGTATAGTTCAGGTATTTATTCAATAAATTGGTGTTCAATTGATTTAAAGCTATGAAATGATTGCTTAAGACTTGAATCCATACAATCGACGATTGGCTCAAAGTATGGATAAATCGGTTATTGATTACAGAAATGCTTTGATTGAAGTGGAGATCGATATTCACCGAAACCCCGAC